CTGCCTCCCAAGTGCTGGGATTAAAGGCGTGCACCACCATGCCCAGCCCTTTTTAAAATTATTTTTATTTTAGGTGTATGAGAGTATTGCCTGCATGTATGTGAGCGCACCCATATTGTACAATGCCACGGACGTCAGAAGAGGGCTTCGGATTCCCCTGGAACTGGAGTTAAGAACGGTTTGTAGCTGCCATGTGGGTGCTAGGAATCAAACCTGGGTCTTCTGCAAGAGCAGTCAGCGCTCTTAACTGCTGAGCCATCTCTCCGGCCCCATGAAGTAAGTTTTTAATGCTGATAAAGCCCAATTTATCTAATTTTTCTTTTAGGCACTTGTGCTTTTGGCATCATTTCTAAGAGAGCATTATATAAATGTCTTTTGTTTTGAATGTAAGAAATTTTTATTCTATTTTATTAAATAATACGTATATATCTATTTATAAAGCCATATAAATAAACATACCCACATCTCGTAAAACAATTAAAAATTCCGATTCTGGCAGACCATAGGCATTAGATGGCTCTTCTAAAACAGTGTATAAACTCCCACAAGGGCAAAATTCCATAATAAGCACTTTATGTCTTGTTGTTGTCTGGAAAAAAAGTCATTAATTGGAGAATCAACAGAAAGAACAAAACGCCTCCCCCCCAAACCCTCTGATTACATAGCAGTACTTATCTGACTTCATTTAAGTGTAGGACAGGCTACAATGATGAAGGCACATTGAATTGTTTCATCTGAGACTCCTAAAATACCCGTTTGATGTACATACAACAAACATCTTCCAAATTTCTATTAAAATTAAAGTTAAGGGATTATAGAGATGGCTTAGCAGTTAAGAACACTTGTTCTTGTAGAGGCTGGGAGTTCAGTTCTTAGCATGCATATCAGGTAGTTGCCCGCTATCTGCAACTCCAGTTCCAGGGGATCTGTCATTCTTTTCCAGCCTCTGCAGAAACCCGCACACGTGTACACATACACATAAATAAAAATAAAATAAATCTTAAAAAATATATAAATTAGGGGTTGGGAATTTAGCTCAGTGGTAGAGCGCTTGCCTAGCAAGCACAAGGCCCCGGGTTCAGTCCTCAGCTCCGAAGGGGGTAAGAAAAAAAAGAAAAAAAATATATATAAATTAGGGGCTGGAGAGATGGCTCAGTGGTTAAGAGCACTGACTGCTCTTGCACAGGACCAGGGTTTGATTCCCAGCACCCACATGGCAGCTACAAACTATCCTTAACTCCAGTTCCAGAGGAATCTGAAGCCCTCTTCTGACTTCCACGGCACTGCACAACACCGGTGCACTCACATACATGCAGGCAATACACTCATACACTTAAGATAAAAATAATATTAAAAAATATATATATATATAAATTAAAACTGAATTTGTTTTGAAGACAAGCTAGTGAAAACTCACTAAATCTAAACTAGATCATTGTTGCAATGTTTACTGATTTTATTCAAATCATCTAGTTTTTTATGTATGACATATTTAGGACAAATCTCAAACACTTAAATTCCTTCCCATGATAAGTACTTTTACTTCAAGGAATAGAGTCCTACTCTTAATAACAAATGGGTGGGGCTCACTGGTTAAAAGGGTTTACTACTTTTCCAGAAGACCTGAGTTCAGTTTCCAGTACCCATGTCATGTGGCTCACATTGCCTGCAACTCCAGCTCCAGGGGATCCAACACCCTTTACTGGCCTCTGCATGCATTCAGTCATGTGTGGTATACATTCACATGGTCACACACACATACACATAATTAAGAATAAAAACATAAAATCCAGGAGCTGAAGACAATATGTGGCAGAGCAGCTGAGAGGCCCCTCAGCAAAGTCCGGCCTGCTCATTCCCATCTCAGGTCATTTATTCCTAACCGTGATTTTAATGTAGCATTCACTATAGAATGGAACATCAGCTTAACAGCTTTACAAGGAAAAAGAAACGCCCCCAAATTACGTAATACATAATGATCATAGGATGGATGCCAAATTTTAGAAATGTGAAATTTTTAATGAGTTTTAAAGTATCTAGTATTCATTTTTACTCTTTGGTCTTTAAAAATATTCTTTGGCCACACATGGTGGCGTGTGCCTTTAATCCCAACATTTGGAAGGCAGAGGCAGGTAGATCTTTGTGAGTCTGAGGCCAGCCTGGTCTATCTACATAGCGAATTTCAGGCCAGCTGGGGCTATAGGGAGATCCTGTCTCAAAAAGACAAAAAAAATTTTTTTAATTAAAAGAATTTTTTTAACATATCTCCAAAATACTTCATGAAGTACTCTGAGTTTCTCTATTCAGCAGTCACGAAAAAGAGAAATAATTATAAAAGAAAAAACATCTACTGTTTTACATGAAAATATATGTTGATGTTGAAAATTTGGGAAACAGTCCATCATCCCAGGAAAAGTCATAGTTTTGCATACTTGCCCCCCTCCCATGGATCAAATCATGGCACAAATCAGGATCACTTTACATATATATATATAGTCTTAGTCTTATATATAGTCTTAGTCTTAATTTTTTTATGTAACATTCCATATAAGTATGTTCTCAGATGATTAACATGTTGATAACTATCTTTTTCATTTTTGCTTAGCCACTGTGTAGCAGAAAATTCACTTTACAAGAAGTTTGGCTTTTCATTTTGCTATTATAACTTCTGACCCATGAAATGTTCTCTTTGAAAGAAGTGCTTTTGACTAAGGGCTTTAGCTATGGACAGCTAATTTTATGATGGTCTTTTCTTTTTAAAATTAAGATAGAGTGTTATACTATAGCTCAGACTAGCTTCAAACTACCAGCAATCCTCCTGACTCAGCTTCCTGAGTGTTAAGATTATGGGTATAAGCCATTATGACAGTCCCCTCCCTGCTTTTTGAGATAGTATCCTTCTCACTACATAGCCCAGGCTGGCCTTGAAACCATGATCTTCCTGTCTTAACCTCCTAAGTGTCTGGATTATAAGGGTGCACCACCACACTCAGCTAACAATGTGATCTTATTATGGAGGCTTTATGGCTTACCATATGAATTCTGACTTCCTAAAATAGAGACCAAAAAATAAGTCAGCCATGCACCAGTATTGACGGAGCATCATAAAAACACTGCATGTTGGAAGCCTGGGTGGGCCTTTCAGGTTAGTAATCCTCTCTATACTGTTCTACATCAATGCTAAGAGGGTACTGCGTTCATGCTTGTATCCATCCATAGTCTACCCTGTGTCTATTCCTTTGGCTGTTCCAACTTGCATCTTTGTGCTATTATAAAAAAAAAAATTACAGTACTTTCCTGACTTCTGTGAATCATTTTACAATCTAGCAAATGACAAAATCTGAGCATGTTCTGGGAATCTGTAGTACTTGTGGTCATCTGGTCTGAAGTGAGAGTAGCCTTGGGGACTCCTGTACTTGGGGCTGGTGTCTGAAATGAGGGCAGTTTTGTGGGGACTATGCTTTGTACACTTTGCCAAATTCCTCTGCAGTCCTGTCAGTCTTTCACACACTTGACAGTTTGGTAATCTTTTTTGTTGCTGTTTTTGTTCTTTTGAGACAATGTTTTACTCTGTAATACAGGCTGGTCTTAAACTTACTACTGGCCTAAGCTGGCTGGATCCTGTCTCAGCTTCCCATGTGCTGGGATTATCATCATATACCACCATACCTGGCTACAAGACTAGGCTCTTAACTTTGAGATTGACTAGATTTGGGTAACTAGGTGCTACACATTTTAACTTACCAACCTTTTAACTGATCTTTACTAAAACACCAGAGTACCAACTAACATTTTAATGCATGAAATTTATACTTAACTCCTAAGAAATAATCACTGAAAATGAAATCATGAGGGTAAGGAGTATAAACTACAAAACTTTAAAAGATATCTTTACTGAATATCTATGTCTAGAAGGAATAAAATAGATTTCCATTTCCATTATTTCTAGAATATTTTTCCTAATGATGTAGCCCCAGCTAGCCTAGAACTTGCTATGTAGACCGGGCTGATCTTGAACTCACAGAGATCCACCTGCCTCTGCCTCTCGAGTGCTGGGACTAAAGGTATGTGCCACCACACCAGTAAAAATTCTTAAAAATTATGACTATAATCTCTGTATTACTATGAGTTTTACTCATTTACAAAGTTTCTATTACTGTTTGACATTTTATTTTTTAATGTCATTTATTTTTTAATCTATCTTTGTGTCAGCCACATGTGCTGGAGTGCCCTTAGAGGACATCAGATACCCTGGAGCTGGAGTTACAGGTGGTTGTGAGATGCCTGATATGGATGCTGGGAACTTATGGTCTCTCAAAGAGGAGCAAGTGCTCTTAACCACTGAGCTATCTTTCTAGCCCCTGTTCTTATAATCATGTGAATTTTACTTCTGTTGGCTTTTCCTTTTTCTCCTTTTTTAGTAATAACATGGGTAACCAGACTTTATACCTCCTCTTTCTTCTACTACTTTTTTCTGCTTTTGTTCTTATGACACTTTATTTCTATTCTATTTATATTCAAACCCTGGGGAAGAGACCATTTGGTTACATGAGCATGCTCTTCAAACACCTCTTGTTAGAGTTCATTTCCTAAATCATAACTGCCATACACATGATGACAAGCTTGGCTACTTACCTCCTCTTCAATAGCAAATAATTTGACAATGTTTTTATGATTGAGCTTTTTTAACACTTCAAATTCTCTCATCTGAACATCCACTGGACGAAGGAAGCTTATGTTATTAAATACTTTAACAGCATATAAATCACCAGTTTTCTGAAAGAAAAAGGAAAGGGATCACTAGTACCAGCACAGTAATCTGTATTTTTTACAGCATACCATGCATTCTTTAGACAAAACTCTGGGATTAGTATTCTTGACTTTTAAAAAAAGGGAATGATGCACTGTTCAATATTCCTTTCAACCAATACAATTTGAAATGTTACAAAAGATAAATCATTTGTAAAGTAGGTTCGTAGGTTGGTCTGTCTATTGTGTATAAGTGTTGCCTGCCCACATCCATCCATCCATCCATCCATCCATCCATCCATCCATCCATCCATCCATCCATCCAGTATGAGTGTTTTGCCTGCATATATGTAAGTGCACCACATGTGTACAATGATCATGGAGGCCAGAAATAGGTGTCAGATCCCCTAGAATTGGAGTTACAGATGGTTGTTAGTCACTATGTAGGTGCTGGATCCCCTGCAAGAGCAGTTAGTGCTCTTAACCACCAAGCCATCTTTCCAAGCCCCCATTTGTAATTTTAGCTATAACATTAAAGAAAGTTAATAAATTTACATTATTTTAAAAAATTTCTTCAATGATATGCTTACGAATGGTATGCTAATGGCAGTCATTAAACAGAATAAAAAAGCTCGGGGCTGGAAAGATGGCTCAGTGGTTAAGAGCACTGACTGCTTTGGCAGAGGACCTGGGTTCGATTTCCAGCACCCACGTAGTGGCTAACAGCTGTCTGTAACTCCAGTTCCAGTGATTCAACCCCCTTTTCTGACCTCCTCAAGCATTGCAGGACACAGGTGCATTTACATACATGCAGGCAATACACTCATACACATAAAATAAAAATAAAAATTTTAATATAAAAATACAAAAGCTCTAATATATCAAGTGAAATTGTCTTCTGCATAAGAAACTGAAAGCTAAACTCAAAGGCACTCCCAGAGTCCAATTTTTTAATTTATTTTTATTTTATGTGTATGAGTGTATTGCCTGCAAATATCTAAGTGCACCATGTGTGCAATGACTGTGGAGGCCAGAAACAGGTGTCGGATCCCCTGGAACTGGAGTTACGGATGATTGTAGGTGCTGGGAATCAAACCTGGGTCCTCTGCAAGAGTAGGCAATGCTCTTAACCACTGAGTCATCTCTCCAGTCCCAAGTCTAATATTTTTAAAGGAATCAAAACAAGGAGATCGAAAACTATATTCTACCTACAAAATTTTTATTAATAGTTATCAAACCAATGCGATTCAATTTTTCAGAAATATTTGTTTTACGCTATATTTGTGTGTGTGTGTGTGTGTGTGTGTGAGAGAGAGAGAGAGAGAGAGAGAGAGAGAGAGAGAGATAGGAGGTGGAAAAGTGAGTTTAAAGTGGACTTCCTGATTGGATTATACTGCTGCTGTCCTAGCTGCTGTCGTGGGCACCTTTCTGAAACTTCACCTGATGACTAGGGCAGTTTGTTCCCTGACAGATGACCTCTGGAGAAGCAAAGTTCCACTGACATGCTGCAGTACCCTCTTATCCCTCTTTCGAGTAGCCATGCAGATGATGACACAGCTACAGCTGGCAGATTCCTTCAAGGTACAGAGTTCGTGCTTATGCTTCAGGTATGGCCACAGGCATGTTCCAAACCTTGCTCTAACTTCTCCAAGACCTGCCCACTTTCTTTCATTCCCAGAATCAGCAAGCTACTCCCTGGTGGCCAGTACAGTCTTTGTTTTTGGCATTCGGCCCAATTCTCCCCTTATTTATTCAAGATTGAAAGATCATTTTCCTTGGGGCTTGCAGCACTCCATGCTTAAAGACATTTCTCGGCTCTGAGTAAGACCTCTACTTTGGACCGTGCCCTACCTTTCCACAGCTGTGTAACACTGCATGTCACCATCTGCTTTCACATTAAGGGATCGAAGGATGCTGCAGAATGCCCGCAGAGCTCTGCTCCACAGAGGCCCCCCATCCCACCTCCTCCTTTCACACAGAAGTGTTTTGCTTTTAAAAATTACTTTGCTCAGGCTAGAGAGATGGCTCAGTGGTTAAGAACACTGACTGTTCTTGCAGAAGACCCAGGTTTGAATCCCAGCACCCACATGGCAGCTAACAACTATCTGTAACTCCAGTTCCAGGGGATCTGATGGCCTTTTCTGTCCTCTGCGGGCATTTCACGACACAGATGCACTTACCTACATGAAGGCAATACACTCATACACGTAAAATAAAAAAAATTTAAAAATTACTTTGTTCTTTATAATAATCCCACTTCTCAAAATCAACATCTTTAAATGATTCTCACTGTCCCAGTTACAACAAATACAAAGCAATGTATAGTCTTTCCACAGAAAAGCAGTCACTGACCATCACTTTTGGACACTATGAAAAGAGAACAATTCAAAATTCGATGATCACACAATTTTTCAATTTGTTCCTAGAATAATGACATTACTAAATCAATGTAATCACCAGAGCTGCCTTCAACTTGTCTCAAACTCAGTCTAAAATAAGATGTTTTTTCTTTAAAAATTCTGAATTACATTTAGTTTATTGTGTGTGTTTGTGGGCATACATGTAGAGGTCAGAGGAAAACTTTTGGGAGTTGACTTTCTTCTTCCACCATGTGTGATCCAGGGACTGAACTTAGGTAGTCATGAACTTAGGAGCAAACATGAAAAAACCCAGTGTTGCATGGTGATATGGGTTGGTGTCCTTATCACACCTGTGAGGTAACTGGGATCCATGTGAGGATGTACCATTTTCCCTTTGTTCACCTGCACAGCCATCTACCACCATGGCAAGTCAAAGAATATATGACTATTTAGAGATCTGCATATACTGTATGTGGATATCAGTACATCTTTCCTACAACTCTCTTCCCTTTCACCATCACACACATATACTCCACTCACACACAATACTAGCTAACAGCAACTTTAATGAGAAAGATTAAAGGCCCAAGTGAGATGGCTCAGAGGGTAAAAGCACTTGCTCTTCCACAGGACCCGAGTTCAGTTCTTAGCACCCATGTCAGGCAGCTCACAATCACCTGTAACTCTAGTTCCAGGGTATCTGACACCTTCTTCTGGCCTCTGTGGGTACTCACACACAAGTGACATACATTCATACAGACACATATACATAAATAATAAAAACATAAAATAAAATAAATCTTAAAAAAGACAACACATCTCTGAAAAAACTATTAAGGACCAAAAAATACAGTGGGTCTTGGCAGCCTCTTCAGTCAATTCTTATTCCTCTTGAATCAGTGTTTTAGGTTCCAACAGTACATTATGAAAAGTACAACTTTGCTTCTTTGGAGAAATTCAGGCTGCCTTAGTGTACTCTTTCCTAAATCAACCATTTATTCCTTCACTCAATAAGCATTTTCAGAGGATCTACTATGTATAAGACAGGCACTTAAATGAAAGATACTGAGTTACTAAGTAAGGAAAAAGCACCAGAAAATCTAATATATTTACTAACGCCAGGCCTTTTGCATACATGCCATCCAATCTATCATTACCGAGCATCATCCAATTTCCAACTTACATCCTTCTTAATGGCACTGTATTACACAATCAAAACTCTTTGTGAAAGTGATTGCTCATTAGATGCATGTAGTTACAACAGGCCCATCACAGTGCCTGACACACACCAAGTGATCGCTATATTACTTTGGAACAAAGAAACCAAAAAACTCAATTTCCAGTGTAGAAATAAATGCCTTTAATCCCAACACTTGGGAGGCAGAGACAGGTGAATCTCTGTGGTTGAGGCCAGCCTGGTCTACATAGTGAGTTCTAGGCCAGCTGGGGCTACAGGGAGACCATGTCTCAACTCCCCCTGTGACCCCCCCCAAAAGAAGGATTTAGAGTCTGTGGACAGTTCTAGAGTCAAGGGGAAATGCTAAATACTATCTGTCCACATGACACTATGATTCATTCTGGTGAGCCACGCAGGCTGTTCATAATCAGATTCTCTCTGAGGAAACAGCCCTTCCCTAATGCACTTCCAACTCACTGTGACACACAGACTTGAATAATCTACAGGAAAATAGAAGAACCCTCAGTACTAAAAGGTTTAGAGCCTGTGCCTGAAAATAATTAAAAGGCCCCAAAGCATCATTTACGTTAAAACAAATTCACAATGCTGAAAAACTAGAGATTTGCGCTAAAAAAGGATTTTTAAAAATTCCATTATTTTTCCAGCTTTCTTCCCATAAGGTTTATCTTTCATTTCTTCATTTAAAGTAATTTTAGTTATTTTTAATTTTATCCTCCAATACTGAATCCAATAAAATCCCTGGGCTCTTGAGTGCTTCTGGGATTAGCCTTCCAATTCTGCTTCCACTTCTACCAATGTAGAAGTTCTGATGATCTCATGCGAAGATACAGTTCTTTAACTATGATGTCCTTGTTAGGAAACCTTCTTTTACCCCAATCCACCTCATAGAATGCTATTTTAGAGGGAGCACAAACAGTGGAACAGATCAGAATCACCTGTGGGTTCCCTCCATCCCAAATCAACTTCCTGTTTTTCTTTATTCTGTAAACATATAAACTCTGGTGCCATTGGATAGATGTGTTCACTGCCTCTAACATAGGCTAAATCTAAAATAATCACGAAATTCATAAAATCTTTTTTCTTTAGACAATAAAAGGTCAAAATTGCTAAGTCAGACATATAAGTATAAATGAGCTTGTCAGAAGAGAATAAAGTGACAAAAAGACCGGAGTTTCCAGTGTACCTACCTTATGCCTTCCACGAAAGACGTTTGCGGTTGCTCCCTGGCCTAAGATGTCAGATAAAAGCCACAGATGATTAGAAGTGCTCTGCATCTTGGCTGTCAGATGGTTCTCCTCACACTAAGGGACAAGAAAAGAGCTGCATGGATGTTGTTAAGGAAATAACACAGTTAAGAAATAGATGTGAGCTTTTTTGGTCTGAGGCAGGACTACCCATCATTCACTGCTAAACTGAGGGGTATACACAGCCCACTGGGAAAAATACAGGATAACATTAAAGGTTAAAATACCATGTAAGCACTAGAGAAAAGGAAAACCAATTACTTTCAATTTTGTTTTGTTCATTTTGTTTTGGAACAAGATTTTACTGTGTCCCAACCTAGTTTTGAACTCTACACAGTCCAGACAAGCCTTCTCTCTCAGCATCCAAAATGCTGTGATTACAGGTGTGTATCACCATGCCTGACTTATGACTGCACGGGTCTGTGCATGTGAGTGCGGGTACCTGAGAAGGGAGGAAGGAAGGTGTTAGATTCATTAGATCCTCTGGAGCTGGAGTTAGTCAGCTGTGAACCTGTGAGCTGCCTGGTGTGGGTTCTGGGAACTGAAGATGTGGGCTCTGTCCTCTGGAAGAGCAGCAAGTGCCCTTAACTACTGAGCAACAGCTCCAACCCACCATGCCTGGCTTTTCTCTTCTTCATATATTCAATTTAATTCACATCTCCGAGATGAAAGAGACATCAATTTTCCATGTAATTTTTTCTCTGCCAATTTGAGTGATACTGGTTACTTATTTCCTTCAACTGTTTTTAAATCATTGATTGAAGAAGAAAAAAACTTTGAGGCAAGCTATCACTGTGTAGCCTAGGTGCCTTTGAATCTGCAATCTTCCTGTCTCAGCCTCCCTCGTGCTGGGAGGCAAATTATTAATTGTTTTAATTAAAGAAATCAAGGTAGCACAATACTAACAAAAACCAATATTACTTACATATTTCCACAATGCAAAATTTCATCTACAGAGAAATTGTAATGGGAAGGCACAAAAATTATTATTCCTGAAAAGTTAATAACTCTTCTGAAGTTGTTTAAGGATAGTTTCTTGGGCTGGCAAAATGGTTTAGTGGGCAAAGGTGCTTGCCACCAAGCCTAATGATCTAAGTTCAATCCCTGGAACCCACATGGTAGAAGGTGAGAACCAACTGTCTGATCTATACACACACACTACACAAATAAAATGTAAAAAAAGTTAAAAAGGGATAGTTTCTCTGTCCTTTAATATAGAAAAGCTATGGAACTATAACATTTAAAAATATTTGAGCTTCACAGTGTAATAAAAATGAGATATGCTACATGGCATAAACACTGGACCCACCAGACTCCTTTAAACCTACTGTAATATCAGATCAAAACATAATCTTACACTCCCTTTATAGAAAGTTAGAACGCCAATATTTCAAAGACTGTTAGGAACATGTAAGACAGCCAGTGCTCCAGGTTTCACCAACCTCTTATATACCAGGTTATTTGTAATTTTAATAACCCATGTAATTTAGATAAGGATAAATCCATCAATTTACTTGACGTAAGCATTAAGAGTCTCTTTACAAATAAGGAATGTATTCACCAGGTATCACATTTCACTCAAGGGGAAACAAACTAAAATATGTAATGAAACATCTTCCCTAATTAATGTTACTTTGATGTTTCAGGTAATTGTAAATGACAAACAGTATCAAGTACTTATATGTATCTAGTGGATAATATAAAACACACTTACTTGCTAAAATACCTGCTCTCTATATGCCAATATAAAAATTCCGTTCCACAATAGCGATGATTTGAAACTGTTCCAATAACCCCTTATAACCAAAACATGACTCAGCACCCCCACCAGGTGCTTGCTATATAAAATTTCCCGATTTTTTGACAAGAATATAAGTAAGCATTCAACAAGTATGTTATTGGTAGTGGTGTCTTAAGTCTACTTCCTTTAACTATCCAAAACGAAAGGATGAAAACAGGTTTGGTGACATGGTGTAGGGACAAAGTTCCAGGATTTCCAAACTCTACCACTATGTGAATTATTTATTCTACAGATATTAGAGTACCGGGGTAAAAAGAGTTGGGCTTTGATTATGCATTGACAGTTATCGGGGAGCAGAGCATCTGTTTCGAGGCTACCGACTGAAAATTATTTGGGAAACGGATTAGGGAAATACACCCTTAAGCCAGGTCAACGAGGAGCAAGAAAACATAGGAATCTGCATTTTGCTGGTGTGCATTAAAAACGTCTCCTGCGTGGAGCTTTCGGTGAGTCAACCTTTGCAGGTCCGTTTCATCAGCAGTCCATTTAAAAACTCCCAATGGTATCAGCTGGGCCAGGGGGTGGGAAGCAGCTAGTCCAACTCTAGGCAGGGCAGTCTTCCTGCCCGGGTGGCCGAAGCCCCGCCGACCCGAGGGCCGGGACTGCAGGTCACCGGGCCGACCCGAGATGGAGGCCAGAGGGCCGGAGAGACCCCGAAGCCCGGGCCCCGGGGAGGCGGTGTCGACAGCGGGTCCGGGAGGGCTCGGCCTCGGCCGTGCGGGGCGGCCGGGACCACTGCGTCCCCGCTCTGACTCAGCATCCCGGCCTCCTCGGGGACCCGGCGCGCCTGGCCGCACCGCCTGCCCGCCCGCCTCTTGCCCTCGGCCGCTTCACTTACCCACCGAGTCTCCGCCGCGCCACAGCCAGCGGCTCCCGGGCCTGCTCTCGCTCCAGGCTACTTCCGGCTTCGCCAGCTCGGGCTGCGGAACACGTGACCGACGGCCAGCACATCTGCGCGTGCGCAGGCCTGCCCGCCTATCGGGCCGCAGCAGCTGTGCTGGGTTTGCCTTCCCGGGAGGTAGCGGTCACCGCTGCGCGGGGTTGGCTGCGATCCTGACACCCAGATACCCCAACACCCTTACTCTGAGGGTGGAGCTAGGGAACCCTGCCAGCGCGCGTCTACAGTTCAGATTCCCGCAACTGCAAGCCCAGCCCAGCACTCGAGTTGGGCGACCCTGGCAGCGCACCAGTCACAGATGGGCAGAATGCTGGCGGCTGGGAAAAGCAGGCAGGCAGGCAGGATCTGTCATCTGTCCTAAACGACACTTTGGCTGCATGGTGCAGGATTATCATTTCATAATATTAAGTAGTGAAATTCTTAACATACTTAATTCCCTCTTTCGGAGTATTCTGGAAAATGGCAACACTGGAGAACTAAAGCACTAAACTTGACTACTTAAGAGCTACAAACAGCCATTCTTCACAAAGAGGTCCCTTCCACGCACAGCAGCACCAAAGTCTTTTTCCACTCAAGGCGGATTCCGGTGGATCTAAGGTGTAACTTCTGAGTGGAGAGGAGGAAGGAGGGGATGCTCCCCTGAGCAGTTTGACAACAAACACCATCGAATGGGGAACCATGACCAAGGGTTAGAGTAGAGGCTTTTTGCATGGAATAGATCACGGGTTGAGTACAGCTCTGCCCACTACTGACTTTAAGCTTAAGTTTCTTCTCTTTAGGCCTGTTTTCAACAATGGAAGTAAGAAAAGTCCAATCCAATGAGTTCTTATAAAGGAAATTATTTTATTAGAATTTTAAACAGTTTAAGCGATAATCCAACACCAGATTTACTGCTTACAATTAAAAACAATTTCAGTTCTCTAAATGACAAGAGTAAAGACCCTTCAAATTTCCAACAGTAAAACACAGTTGTAAAGGAAAGGTGACAGAGCCAAAGGACCTCACACTAATGCACACTAATGATGTCCTTTCTTAAAAAGTCAAACCACATGTGAACTCATTAGCACTGAGATTGAAATAAACTGTTAGGCACAGCACTAAACCAGGCACCATAAAACCCTGTCTTTTGCCTCAGTTTTCTCACTTATGAACATGTCAGATTCATTCTTGAGACAATTACTTGGGTGTTTGCTTTTAGAAATACCAAGTGATGGAACTTTCTTGATTGTGATGGTGCTTGGGTAACTTCAAGGAATAAAAAAGAGAATTATTATACATGATTACGTTAACATGAAGTTTAATTCTCGTGTATACACTCTGATTTCCATGTCCTGATTTCTCAGATCTAAACACGTGAATCTACTGTAGGGCTTTAAAGAGCTAGGGAAAAGGGTTTCACATTTCTGTGTCTGGTCTTAATGGCACAGTAATAAAAGCTAATACTGAGGCCTTATATGCCAGCTACTGTAATAAGCTTTCATGTTTTAAATCATTGAATTCTTAATGAGGTAGCTACCATTTTTTCCCTCCATTTCTGAGACAGAAACAAAGGCAGGAAGAAGTTAAGTTGCTCAAAGTCCTAAAATCAATTACTGACATAAGTGGTGTTCTAATCTTAATCTAGGTCCAGAGTCCATTCACATTATATAAGCTCTTACCTACTGTGCTCTGCTACTTGTTAGTAATATGTTAAATGCTAAACAGTTATTACTATTGCAATAGCATAGTAAATATACACCCATTTTCAGTTTTGTTTTGAGATAGGGTCTCACTCTGTAGCTCAGGCTAGCTATAACCCTTTATATAAAGGTCACACTGCTTTAGCCTCCTCTAAATGCTGAGATTGCACATGTGAGCTACCTTACCTAGGCTTACCTATTCCCACCCCCCCCACACACACACTTTTTGTGGTACTGGGGTTTGAGCCCAGGGCCTCATGCATGGTGGGAAAGCACTCTTATTATCACTGAACATCCCCAGGTAACCCATTTTTAAAAAGTGTTTTGTCATATATATTTCACTGATCTATTTCTATAGTTCACTATTTTTATACTTGTCAATTTAGTTTAACACCTATAACTTTTTTTTCCCTGAGACAGGGTCTCCCTATATAGCTCCAGCTAGCCTGGACTTGCTTTGTAGAGAAGGCTAGCCTTGAATTTAGAGCTCCACCTGCTCCCCCATCCCCACGCTAGAATTAAAAATGTGCACTACCATTCCCAGCTGCCTATAATTTCTATATGTAAGCAAAATGTTTTAAATCTTTTGTCAAATTTTTTAAAAGATGTACAAATTAGAATAAAATTTTAGGAGGGTTCAGTGGATAAAGTCCTTGCTGCACAGCATGAGGACCAGTTTGGATTCCTAGCACCCACATAAAAGTTGGGTATGGCAGTGAGCATCTGTAAACTAGCTAGGGGACAGAGACAGGACCCCAGAGGGCTTTTTGGCCAACCAGCCTAAACAGTGCGCTCCAGGGTCAGTGAAAGATCTTGTCACAAAAATATGGTTTATATGCCTGTCCCTCTCACCTAACACACATGTGCACACATACACACACACACACACACACACACACACACACACACACACACACACATACACACAGACAATGCTGAAAACATTTTTAAAAATTTTAAGGAATTCATGGGTCACTGACCTCATCTACAAAACCCTAGGCAACACATTGGTCAATGGTAAAAGACAAATGCCTCCTAAAATCTTTTTGTCCTCCCTCCCTATTTTGAGGTGCTGCCTATCAAACTCAGGTGCTCAAGCAAGCACTCTACCACTGAAAAAAGTCTTGATTGGGCTTTTTTTATTTTGTGACAGGGTCTCCCATAGCCCTCTCTAAAAACTCTTGACTGGGCTTTTCTTATTTTGTGACAGGGTCACCCATAGCCCAAGTTAGCCTCAAACTCACTATATAGCTGAGGAAGAACTTAATGATCCTCCTGCCTCTACCTCCTGAATGCTGGGATCACATCACCATGCCCCAGTTTTATGTGATGCCAGGGGTTGGAACCCAGGGCTTCATGCATGCTAGGCAAGCACTCTACCAACTAAGTCATTCATATCCCTAGGTCTTAACTGGGCTTTTAAAGTTTAAAGTTAGAGGAATATAAATATTCTTCTGTAAGTCTGTCCCTCTTTTTCAGTGCTATTATTGGTATTTTTTTCTTGCTTTCTCCAGTGTCCATTCTGTGATAACTACTTATAGTAGCTACTTACAAACATCATAAACATACAGGCAGCCCAGTGTGGTGGCACACACTTTTAATCCCAGCACTCTGGAGGCAGAGGCAAGTGAATCTCTGAGGTCAGTTGTGCATACAAAGTGAGACTTCTCTTAAAAACAAACAAAAAATCGCAGGTATACTGGCTCTTGACATGACTTATCTACCTCATGTCAGAGCAAAAACATCAGGATTTACATCAATAGATTCACAGAGCCTGTTTCTAGTGCATTCAAAAAACTTAACAGAACTAAAGCTGCATGTGAGCTTTTAGGACTATAATAAGTAAGGCATTCACACTCAAATTTGCAAACCTTCAGTTTGGAAATCAGAGCGTGATTAAGGTGGAAAAATGAGGCTATTGATAATAATTCCAGAAAAGACTCAGTGTATTTCACTACGTAAAATTTATTTTTTTATAAAAAATGTGTAACACCAACACCTACTTTTAAATCAATTCATTTATGAACCCACTCTCTTGTAGAATACACATTGGCATTGAAAGTTTAAAGAAATGTAATGGCTATCTACAAAATATTAGATTTTGATTACTGTAGTCCCCCCATACTTTATTTATCTGCACAAATAAAACTGAGTATTTTCAAACTTTACATTCGATTTTTTTAAAGTACAGTTTTCCACTGCTCT